CCAGACCGTAATTATTGCGCAATATTTCGGGCCATAATAACTTACGTAAAATTACGTTAATATATTTCGCTGATGTAATTAGTTAAAAAAACTGAAAGTTTAATATGAAGGTTTAAAATTGCTGAGATAATTGAAGATTGGTCTATTATATCTCAGTATTCTAAAAGCTTTTCTAGTATTGACTCTGCTAATTCACTTTGTGTAAAATTATCGTTCTCAATAAAATTTTCTAGACATGCTTGAATTCCTTCGAAAACAAATCAAGTATCATTTAAAGTCAGATATGATAATGCAGAAAGGTGTGTAGTAGCTTTTTCCAAAGGTTCAAAAACTAAAAGAATATCCTATTATAATAGAGTATAAAATTTATATAATTCAATAACTTTGTAAAATTTATTAACTAAAAACATTATATGGCATCCTATGATAAATCATGAGTTTAAAAAAATATATATATATTACTTTTATTGCAGCCCAATTTTTCTTAGTAAGATAAAGAAAGATCTTTAACAATTTGATTGTCAGCTACAAGCAAGGCCAAGGCAGGTTTAAGTTGACATACACGTTCTAACATGTAAAATATTGAGTTCTAGCAGGTATCTATATCTAGTATTGTATATAGACATATATTTAAGCAAATTATTGGACATGGATAGTCCTTGGACACGATATCCAATATCCATGTCCATGGACATATCTATATTTTTATATGTTTATAGATATAGACATCCATATTTTTGTATGTCCATGTCCATGAACACCTATGTCTATAAATAGTTTATGTCCATATCTATTAACAACACTGTCTATATCTATAACAGGTTTAAGGTTTGAAATTCTTTTTAAGTTACAAAAATGATGGATTCATGACAAAGAGATGTTGAGTTTTTTATTTTAACCATCAATTTTCAGACTTTATTGATCAGGTTATTAACTACTTTTAGCTCTTGTTTTGCACCTAAGTTTAGGATATACGCAGCACAATGATAATACAAAAAGATCATTAAAAAAATGTTGAGTCAAGACTTTTAGTGATTTTTTCTCTACATACTACCATTCTGATACATTGTTTGTAGTAAGCACGATGATTTTATTATGAATATGGAATTCATCTAAGGTGTTTAAAATTGTTTGCACAATATTAACTCCTAAACAAACATTTTAATGAAAAAAAATTAGAGGAAAAAAAAATAAAAAGGTTTGGAAAAAAAAAGTATTAAAAAAGAAAAAACACTTGAATAGCTAATGTTAAATGGGATTATATTAAGCAAAAATTTCACAATTGCTAATTAAAATCGATATAGTGAATTGTGAGGCCAAGAAAAGCCTCCTGATTAATGGTTGATAACTAGATATCAGCAGTTAATGAATATTTTTCAGGAATACTGCTAAGTTCATTTGCAATTCTTGATTATTGGGTTTCAAATTTATAAATAACCAAATCTTTTACTTGATGCTATTTAGAAATTATATAGCATAGACAAAATTGACTAATAAATGATCTAAAATGATTATTGTTAACAACTGTGAATGGTTGGAGATCACATATAATCCATTCTAAGAGATACATTGTATGTTTTCTTTGTGCCCATAAGTCTAAGGGTTTTTTTACAATTTGTTGATTATATTTTACTATAGGGACTTCCAAATTATGTTTTATCAAAAGGTGCTTCTACAATGTTGATTTATCACTTGTTAGTTTGTATTTTTTAATAGAACAGCAGTATTTATAAACATTATAATCTGGTGCAAACAAAAATCTCTTAAAAAAATGTTTCTAAACAGGGCTTTCATTTGCTGATGTGGAATAAGTTGTTTCTAATTGTTTATCACAAGACATTCGTTCATCAGAGGATGTTGAATCAGTAGTGTTGTTAATGTCAGGTTGATTTTTGGGGCTAGTTTCTAATTCTTTATTGTAAGTGCAATTTGTAGTTTTCATTTTTTATACGAGACCAAACTACTGGTTTTGCATCTTATATTTATAATTTTAGAGGCAAGTTCTTTTATTATTGTTTGTATGCATTAGAAAATCTTATAGCAGTATATTTATCTACTTTTATTTTCATAAAAACAAACTAATACACAATTACAAATTGTTAAGTATACACATTCAATACACTAACATGATTCAAGGCAATTGTTCAATTTTTTTTTGTAGATAGACTTATATCAAATATAACCTAGATGGTTGAAGAGAGACAAAACATACATATATATATACAAATGAGAGCAATTAATAATAAATAATATAAATTTTTATTTATTTATGATTTTAATTTAAATAAAGTTAATTCTCTATTCTATATTGTTTATTTCATTGACACCCTTCTCTGTCTGTTTGTTCATATTTTCTTGGCTTAGACTATTAAAATGTCACAAATTATATAATTAATGTCATTATAAGTAAGATGTTAAGATGTTAACAATTTACAATTGTTTGCACTGTTTTTTATGACATCAACACTTCAATATGTTACTTAGCTATTTGCAATATATTAAATGCTGAATTAGCCAAAGTGGCTTCCCAAGGGTCGATTATCACCGTAGCAGACGAAGTATTACAAATGCTGCGACAGTAATCAACCTGAATTTACATATTGTCATGGTTGTCTTTTAAATCACCAGAACTATCAGATCTTTTCTCGATGTGCCATTCATACGTTTTCTGAGGGAAGTGTTTTTGTATTTCCTTATGTGCCCCTGCCACATATATAAGAGTTGTAACTATCCATAACTTACATCTTTTTGTAAGTGAAAAGGCCTCTTATATACTTATCATTCGACTCTAGATTAATTATATTATAATTAATCATACAATACTTAACTTTTACTTCAATTGTATAAATTAATAATCTGATACTTATTTTATGTGTCTTGATTAATTTTTAATTGATCATAGTTACATGTATTAAACTAACCTGAATCATACTGTTTGATAATGCCATAGATCCCATTGCACAATTCTAAAATTAATCTCATCATAGAACTGATTTTGGCTATCAAACATATTGATATTAAGAAAAAAAATTTGTAGCAATAAGAACCTTAATATAATATATGAGATCTTTGTCTTGAAAATGACCTTACAGTATTATGTACTATAAAGTTATTTTCAAAGCAAAGATACCACATACTATACAGTATATTAAAAATAACTAAAAACAAAAGCATGAGGTAGTTTGTTTGGACCTAATAATATATGCAGATCCCATATCAATCAAATTTAAATTAAACTTCCTATTCCTACAACGTTTAGATTTGTTTTTTGTATTTTAATTTAGACAATGGCGCAGACAATGATAATTAATTCTAACCTTTTATATATGAGCAAATTGGTAATACAGTAATTCTGTGTTTGTATATACGTACATATGTACAACAGTTTTTTATTATTATTATTGTCAGAATTCACTAACTAAATGTGAATTTCGTCACTTTTATTATTATAGATGTGCAAAATTCTGTAATAGCTAAAATCAGTTCAATGACTCTTTATAGAAAATTCTGATATCTAATTCTAGATAACTTATAAATAAATAAATATCAAATCAGATATATCTATACAGGAAGCAATGCTAACTATTATCTTATAGTAATCTATTCGTATTTGCGATAGGGCTGAAATGACATAAAATCCTGACTATCCAAAGTATCATTCTTGATGCACAATTATTGCGATCAAAAGAGTCAGCCAGAGTGGCACTCCAAAGTGCAGTTATATAAATTTATATAATATAAAATTACAATTAACAAAGTTATTGTATCTTGTTGATTATAGTTCTACATTATATAGGCTCATATAACTGTACATTAAAGAGCCACTCTAACCAACTTTTTTGATTGCAATAATAATGCATCAATAACAACACTTAAGATGATTACATTTACTTATTGATTTACAATTAGCATGAATATATAGCAATATCAGTGTTCAATAATCATCTATATCTATAACTATATAATAAAAATATTTGTATATAATGACAACATTTAGATTACTTTTTTTTTTTTTTTTTTAAGCGATCCTGCTTTTATTCAAATTTAGCGAACTGCTACATGATGCTGTAATACATCAAAGAGACTGAATGTTTTTATCTAATAAAAGCTCACCAAGCCTAAGCCCAATGCGACTAGCTATAACAACTATTAGTCACCCCCGGGATTCAAAACTTGCTTCGAATTTTGTAACGACGAGGTTACTCCCCAAGAGTTATGACAGGTTGTTGTATACCATGTCAAAATCTTTTCTTTCCCTTCTAATTCTTCCTTCTTCTCAAAGGGCACGAGATAAAAGGGGGAAGTTTTAAAAAGTAAACAAAATGAAAGCGACCAACAAAAAACCCAAAAAAGCACACCAAAAAAAGTAAAAAGAAAAACATATTTCGAAAAAAAAAAACAAAAGAGAAGAAAAAAACTCTAACAAAATGATATAGCCATATTACGGCTGAAAAATTATATAATACTCTTAAATTTAGCTCTACTCTAGATTTAGTCTGTATTATATGTAAATATCTTTGGAGTAGAGTTAGCCCTGCAAGAATTATTATAAAAAATCTCCAAATGGTCAACGTCAGTCCTTGTTCCACATGACACAGTTTGATTCGTTAATTGCCCGTCCTAATTCGTATCTCGAGCCAGGTGCTGCCGCTGTCCGAGGACCCGTATCTCAAGCCACCTGCTGCCATAATTAGAGTTCCCAGGCCACCGAATCTGTGATTCCTCGTGACTCCTGTTCTCAATTTGGAATCGGTAAGCAATGCAGATCTTTTGGAGGGGTACGCCGGTTTTTCCACTTTTTGTTTAGCAAAAATTCCCTAAAAAAATCCAAACCAAGCGAAAATATGGTTTAGGGTGTGTGTAGCTGCAAGGACCTTAAATTTTCTAAAGAGTGTGTTGAAAACCCAATTTGTTTGTTGTTTCCTCTGTGTTCTTCCAAGAAGTAACAGCCTAAAAGCTTCATCAACAGATACTACATTCCAGCCTCTCCACCAAGATTTTATATTCAAGAACACCACCTGCCAGTTATCTTGAATACTAATGCTCTTGGCTTGTATGCTGAACAGCCTAAAGAGGAGTCCTGGGTAGAGAAAACTATTAACCTCTCGCCAAACTGCAAATTAGGCCACGACTCTCCAACAAAAACTTGTTTTTCGTTAGCAGAAAATTTGGTCCAGGTGATCGACAGGGAGAGTTGTTCATGTTAGCTTCCTTTTTAAATACTTCAATTTATAAATTATTTTATACTTTTTGGTTAAATTAACCTAAATACTTACTATTATATACAAATCATTTTAATCACTAGTAAATTATTATTATAGAGTAAAATTAATAAAACAAATTCACAAGATCGTAATACCTACTTACTAGTACTAACACAAAATCTCATAAATTTATTAATCAGTAAAATTAAAATCTGAATAACAGATTCATAATTATACTTACTTGCTATTATATACAAATATAACCTTTATAGTAATTAGTGCTCTCCATTGAGCTGGCTCAAATAGGCCTAGAGAAATTTTGGTCTAGCTTGTTTTTGGCTTGAAAGGTTCACGAGCCTTAGTACAAATCACGTGACTATATCACATGACTTTTGCATAACTTTCACATGATTTTTGTCAAATCAAAATATTTTGTTATGTGAAAATTATGTAAAAGTTACATGTTAAATGTCACATGATCTGTACTAAGGCTCACAAGCTTTTCAAGCCAAAAACAAGCTGGACCAAAATTTCTATGAACCTATTTGAGTCAGCTCAATAGAGAGCACTAATAGTAATTTTGTTAAAGATTTATAATAGATAATAAACTTATTTAACTAGCTAGACTATTTTCTATTAATTAAAAATTAGCTATGAACTATAAATTTAAAAGTAAAGATTCTTATAAATATAACTAATATATTGTTTTAAAATTTAAATTTATAATGACAAGCATATATACTTAAGGCAGACCAACTCCCAAAGATATCAGCATTACTCTTCCTATTACCACTCCTGAACAGCTAACTAGCACAGCTAAAACATTGAGAAAACACTTCTTCTTCTCTCAGCTACCCTCTGACTG